TTAACTAAATTAACTTAAATTAAATTAAGTTAAATTAAATTAAATAAGTAAATTAAAGAAAACTTAACTAAGCCAAATAAAATATTAAATTAACCGAAAGTAAACTGCTATAGCGAAATAACCTGTATAAATAAATTAAACTTAATATAACCAATTAAAAATAAAATACAATTACCTGTAAAAAAAGTACAAAGTTGGTGCTCACCCCGTGGTGAGGAAGTGATAAAAAATTAAAAATGGATAAACGGAAGCAAAACCAAGGCACCGCTATCCAACCCCCGCCCGGGGCTAGTAGCCCCTTCCAGCGGAGCGGAATGACCCCACGACCTCCCGTACGTAACACGTTACTGGCCACGCGACCAGCCAGTGAGAATACGGATATCGCGAGTTCCAATTACGTGGTGGATTCTGCAGGGTCACCAGCAGCACGCATAGATATCGGAAATGCAGCTGACTCTCGGAGAATCCAATCAATCGAGAACTCTGCTGAAAAGTACAGCGACGCCCTTCGTATGATTGGGAAAAAGATCGGGGAACTGAGGAAGATAATGGACAGCCAGAGGCACGTGAACCAGCAAATGAAGAACGTTGAAGAATCGTTGAGAGTAATGATCCAGAAAGAACCTCAGTTAGTTCTTCAGTGAAATCGGCTCAAACAGACCGGCCAGTCAAAGGTGATAAAACAGAGACTAGGAGCAGGTCGGCGAACGAACCCACACCCGAGAACCACCCACAACCTAAAGGAAAACGCATTCGTGTCACCTCACTTCGAGCACAAGCAGAGAAAAAGGATCGCCAAAGTCGTAGCAGTGATCAACCAACAACTGCTAACAACTCAGCCCAGGAGCCAAAAGGCGATAACCAGTCGTTATGCTCCAACGTTACCACAGCCAACTTAAATATGGAGTGGACTAAGGTGAAACCGAAAAGACGGCAGAGAAAAAAGCCAGCCAGCCCGGACGCCATTGTAATCAAATCTTCTGGAGTGTTCTTACGCTGACATTTTGAAAACGGTAAAAAGCGAGGACAGCCTGAAGGGTCTAAGCGAAACTGTGCGGAAGATCAGGAAAACAGCTAGGGGCGATCTCCTGTTTCAGCTGAACAAGTCTGAGGCGCAAATACTGCGAAACTTCAAGAGGCAGTCGAAGGGGTACTGGCAAGTAAAGCAGAAGTCAGGACCCTAACTGAAATGGTTCATATAGAGATACATGATATCGACGAAGTTACGGCAAGCGAAGAGGTGTGCTTAGCTTTAAATGGCCAGGGTGAGTCCACTAAAGTGCAAGTATCCGATATCCGGTCGATGCGAAAAGCGTACGGAGGCACACAGACCGCAACCTTACTCCTACCCGAGAGCGTTGCCAATAAGTTAGTGGCCCAAGGTAAAATCAGAATTGGCTGGGTTATCTGCCGAATAACACATAAAATAAACCCAAAGTGCTGCTACAAATGTTTTGAGTTCGGCCACATATCCAAGGGCGGTCGGAGCAGCGACGATTTTGGCAAATCGTGCTTCAAGTGCGGTCAAACTGGGCGCACGGCCAAACTATGCACAAATGCACCAGGGTGCTTATTATGCGTAAAACGTGGCAGAATTTCTACAAGCCACCAGGCAGGAGGCAACAAGTCCCTGGTATATCAACAAGCGGTAAGCAAAATAAAGGTATGATGAGACTTTTGCAGCTTAACCTCAACCACTGTCAAGCGGCGCAGGACCTCCTGTCGCAAACAATATTAGAAGAAAAAATCGATATTACGATACTCAGTGAGCCATACAAATCGAAATCGTCGCAGTGCTGGCTTCAGGATCAAAGCGGAAAAGCGGCTATTTGGTCATGCGGGAACCCAGCACGCTGGATGCAAGGTGCCGTGCCTGAAAATGGTTTCGTTGGTGCGGAAATCGGCAACTTGTACGTATACAGCTGCTATATTGCGCCAAGCATAAGTATACAGGCATTCGAAAATATACTGTTAAAGATAACAATTGATGCTAGAGGCAGGCAGAATGTTCTTATAGCAGGCGACTTCAACGCGTGGGCGCAAGAGTGGGGATGCCGCAGTACAAGCCCAAGAGGGAGAGCTCTGCTGGAGGCTTTCGCTTGTTTGGACGTCGCACAGTGGTTCGGATAGCGGATCTAGCTGGACGAAAGTCAAAATTTTTTGTTTTTAAAATACTTAATGGTACTTTGAATACATTCCTGACAATACATTCAAATAGAAATTGCATTTATTAAAGCATTAACATATGAAAACAAACAAAAAAGGTAAGTCAACGTCGCCTATTTGAGAACTCTATTTTAAAAGCTGAAATTTAACTTAAAAGATTGCTAATTGCACTCACAGATATTTGCATAATTGCAAATTGACTTTATAAACAAAAAATTACACTTATTCCGCTATAGATTCAGAGGTCATAACGCAATTTATGTCCACATTGGTATAAGCAAATTTATTCTGAAAATCGTCGTTTTGACGTTTGTGTGTTAAAACAGAAAAATACTTGGAGTTATAAAAACTTTGGTTATGTAAGAAATAAAAAAAATAGCAACTCGCGAATTTTCTGCTTTCTGAAATTAAAAAATTATACAACAGGCATGCAAAGCTTTAAGCGCTGTTATAAATTTTTTTCTGAAATTTATTTGTGTTTCTTGCTGTGATCTTACATTTTAGTCATGGTAAAGAAAATCTTAAGAAGTGAGTTGTTTGACATTTGGAGAAGTGTTGCTAAAACTTCTAAAAGACAACAAGGTGTCCGTGATTATGTGATTAGTAAATTGAAAGAAATATCTGATGAAAATGCTCGTTCCGAAGTAAATAAAGTAAAGTAAGTAAATGACTTTAGATTCGTAATTTTTTTAATTTTCGTCCGCCATATTGGATCCGCCATTTTGAATTTTTGGTAAATGACTTTAGATATGTAATCAGCGACCCAGAAAAGCCCCAGATACCCAGTTTCATAGAAATCGACCGATTTTTTTAATTTTCGTCCGCCATATTGGATCCGCCATTTTGAATTTTTGATAAGTGATTTCAGATTCGTAATCAGCGACCCAAAAATCCCCCTAGGTAATAAGTGGTGTAAAGATCCATCAACGAGTACTTGTTTAAATAGTTTCGTCCAGCTAGATTTGCGATCCGAACCACTGTGCGTCGTTCTACTAAACCCGGGATCTGAACACAGCTTTAGCCGAAACGGTTTTGGGTCAATAATAGACCTGACCTTTATCAGTTCCGGGCTATATAGATTCACTGAATGGAAACATAGCATGTGTTATACGCAAAGTGATCATTCAGCTTTAATTTCCAATATCAACTGCAGACGAGAACTGTCTAAGCGGACTTACAACCCCGGAATATCGCACCTTTTCGTATATGACATCAAGAAGTTTAGCAGACACTACTACCGCAATGTCGTCAGCAAACCTACTATGGATGATCCTTCGGGCAATTCAGTACGAAGAACTCCATCATACATAATGTTCCATAGTAAAGGGCCTAGTACGGATCCTTGTGGAACGCCACCTGTTATCTTAGCCCGCTGCAGGCCCTCCTCCGTTTCGTTCCGCAGCACTCGCGAATGGAAATAACTTCGTATTAGTATTCGAAGATAATAAGAAATTCCAATACTCTCCAGTCTATCGAGTACTTTAGCCCAGGTGGCAGAGTTGAACGCGTTCTTTACGTCTAAGGTAACAATCACGCAGTACTCTTTTGATTCTCCCAGCCACCGTGTACCGCTCGTTGCATCCCGTGCTAACTTAATGACTTCTGCTACCGCATTCACAGTGGATTTCCCTTTTCTAAACCCGAATTGGTTTGCCGATATTCCCCCTTTCTCTTGGACTTCCCTGTGGAGACGCTTGACAATTATATTCTCCAAGATTTTACCTGCTGTGTCTAGCAGACAAATAGGCCGAAAACTTGGCTGATCATCCAGAGGTTTACCCGGCTTAGGTATTAAAACAAGCTTATGCCTCTTCCAGATTCGAGGGAAAGTTCCATTCCTGAAACATCCATTAAAAACTTGTAGGCTTAGGTATTAAAACAAGCTTTTGCCTCTTCCAGATTTGAGGGAAAGTTCCATTCGTGAAACATCAATTAAAAAATTGTAGAAATGAGGAAGCGTACTGCTGGACTGCAAGCTTTAGATCAATGTTGGGCACGCCATCGGGGCCAGGAGCCTTCTTTACTTCCACTTTAGCTGTTGCGAGTGTGATTTCTTCTTCCGTTACAGGGTCAACAACACTCAACGGATCACCATCCATAGTGGACACTAACGGCCTCTGTACAGGAAATAGTGTCTCCACAACGGACTTTAGGTATGCAGCGTTTGTCGGATTCATGTTTCTGCCTTTCAGCTTTTTTGAGAAAATTTTGTAAGCCGAGCCCCAAGGATTCCGTTCAGCATCATCGCAAAGCTCTAAAACGCATTACTTTCTTGAATTCCTTTCTTTAGTGCGTCGCGTGTACTCTTATAAGCCGCACGAAGTACCACGAAGTTGTCTCTTTCCCTAGCTCTCTGAGCGTTTCGTCTACATCTTAGACATTTCTTTCGCAGGTCCGCTATGTTATCGTTCCACCAGTAAACCGCATGACGATACGTGGAGGAAGTTCTCCTGGCCATTGAAGCATCGCATGCTGCGCGAATATCGGCCATTAGGTGCTCGGCCAGGGAGTCTGCTGACCCTTGGCAAACGGTGGATGGTAGCATGCTGGTAAACGAGTCGGGGTCTAAAGTACTGGTTTTCCAGCCGTGCGTGATTAAAAGTTGGTTAAATAGCTTCGGCCTGAAGCTAGCCGAGCAAAAAACAGAAGCAATACTTATCTCGAGTCGTAAGAAACTAGAGGAGGTAGCGCTAAAAATTGGCGACCACACCATCATAACGAAACCCACAATTAAATACCTGGGAGTGGTGCTAGACAAGCGTCTTACTTTCAGCGCCCACTTGAGCTATGTGAGAGAGAAAGCAGCTTCAACTATCACGGGACTATCGCGAATAATGCTTAATACGCGAGGACCGAAACAGCGCAGACGTTTACTCTTAGCGAGCGTGGTTAAAAGCCAAATACTGTATGCGGCCCCAATTTGGTCAAACGCGGCACAGTGTCCAGCCTACTTCCGCGGAGTCAACTCAACATACCGTTTATGCGCGCTCCGAGTTTGCAGCGCCTTCAGAACAGTGTCGGACGAAGCAGCTTTCATAATCGCCAGTATGATACCCGTAGATATACTGGCGAGAGAATCGACGGTCCTTGCATCCACACCGCGTAGTCTAACTCAATTAGACCGACGCCAAGCCCGGGAAAGCAGCATTACGGAGTGGCAAAACAAGTGCAATAGTACGATTAAAAGTCGTTGGACCTATCGCTGCATACCAAATCTGGTATCCTGGCTTGATAGAATGCATGGCGAAGTAGATTTTTATCTTAGTCAGTTCTTTAGTGGTCATGGCTGTTTTAAGGCATACCTATTTAAATTCAAACATGAGCACGACCCGTACTGCGACTTCTGTCGAAATGGCGTGGAAGAAGATGTGCACCACGTATTCTTTGAGTGCCCTTGATTCCATCGGCAGATGAACCAACTGAAACTAGCTGTTGGAGGGGTGTTTACGCCACAGTCCATAGTCGCCTATATGGTGAAAGGAGCCAGTGAATGGGCATCAACCAGCCACACACTAACTTCAATTTTGAAGGAACTGAGGGACCTAGAGAGACAGCGGCGTATCACCCGTGATTAAGCCAACTCTTAGCATAGCCGCGGACTGTGACCAAACTATGATGTTCACCAACCAAAGCGTAGGCGCGGACTGGAACCTAGGCCGTTCCAGCCGCCCGAGTAGTACAGCTAAGAAACTTGTGCTTTCAGACCGTCCCTTGAGCATGAAACTTACCAATTAAAGCGTAAGCGCGGACTGGAACCCAGGGCGTTCCAGCCGCCCAGGTGGCAATCTCGAAAACTTGTGTAATCGAAAAATAGGCGCGGACTGGAACCTAGGGCGTTCCAGCCGCCCAGGTGGCAATCTCGAAAACTTGTGCAATCGAAAAATAGGCGCGGACTGGAACCTAGGGCGTTCCAGCCGCCCAGGTGGCAATCTCGAAAATTTGCGCGATCGATAATAGGCGCGGACTGGAACCTAGGGCGTTCCAGCCGCAAATAAAGTGCAGTTTCGAATTTCGGCGCGTTGGTGCGGATCGGAACCTAGACCGTTCCAACCGCAAAGGCAGTATACATACATACGTATACGGGCCTGAAACTCGTCTCTTATGCAAGCCTGCTCAATGCAATACCAGCATAAGGCATGCCGTCATTTTAAGGTATTTGTTCTAACTGCCTATAAAAGCGAAGATAATAAGTTGTATCTAAGAGATAAATAAATAAATAGTTTAAAAAAAGGGTATTTCTCTTTAAACAAGACGTGGCAAAGCCTACTAGGTGTAGCCCAGGACTGAGTACAACCGACTGGAACGAATGTGCGAGCCTAGTGCTCAACCGCCTCCCGACGAAATACTTGACGGTGGTACCGGGGGGTTCGGTACTTGGACAGTAGGAGGCTTAGTTCGGGTTAAAGTCCCACACTGACGGGTACAGGCTTTCGATGCTTGCTCCTCGTAAAAAAAAAACAAAAAATGGTGTATGTATGTATGTATGTATGTATGTATTATGGCTGATTTCCATAGCGTCGATTGCTTTGCATACGTACAAAGTATAAGGTTCCATAAAGTTATCGAAACGCATCGCTAGAGCAATCACTGCATCAGAAACAAAGTTGATGCTTCGTTTGTTATTGGTTAGCATTGGTGTTTTAGAAATGGAAAATTCAGAAAAATTGTTCATTGCTATACTGAATATTTAAAATATGCACTGTTTATGGTTGCAATGTGTCGCAACTCTGCATATACAAACAGTTTGAATACCGCAGTATAACAATTTCCAAATATTGTATTGATAGGTTTGGGAAGTCAGCCTATGTATATGTATGTATGTGCACATATGTATGTGCATTAGATGCCTTATTTTCTCCATACATTTTGCTAAAGTATTTCAGATTCTCCCTCCGGCAGCAGAATATGAAAATATGACACTAAAGAGCTAACAAAATGGAAAAACAATTTCATTATTGCAAAAACTGAATGAGCTACTCCGAAAACCGCGATTTATAAGACTGTTTTGCTATAACTTTAGATCTTTATATGAAAACACATTCACACACAAGAAAGAAAAAAAAATCCAACGTCATGAAGAATAAGCCGCTAAAGCGAATGGCGTCCTCAGTTTTTAATACAACTAACCAAAAAGTTACCCACACGGCCTAAAGTGACAATTTGGTAACATTTTTCAGGAATTTTCAAATTTATTCGTTAGGATTTTCCAGATAGTAGTAATTTTTCCAAAACTAAAATATTTAAAATTGTAGCTAATTTAATGTAGTTTTTAAAAAAGTGAACAGATTTTAGATCAAATTATTAAAAAATAAAAATAAAATTTAAAAGCCAAAGCAGGAGTGGATAAAACTGTCGTAATGTGGAATACTTTAATCTATATTCACGACTGATAATAACATTATTATCTTACATAATCAAAAAAAAATAGACAATATTGATGCAAGCGATAATGGAGAAAACGACAAAGACTAGTTACTTCCTAAATGGTAGGTTTCATTAATTTAATACATATAAAGAAAAGTGCACTTAATTTTAACTACAGAGAAAACACTGCGCAATTTCTTGAAATCAACGTTGCCTACTCGGGAGCACGTTCTGCGTCGGCTAATTCACCTTCGTAAATCCAAAAAAAATATAAAAATACAAAAAAATAACAATACAAAGACAGGTTTTGAGGCATTATTTGTGGACGCATCAAATTATAAAAATTTTTTGGAAATTGACTCCAGTCGATGGATAAACAACCAAAATTATTTACGCGCTGAAGCAATAGTGAAAAAAATTATTGCAACAAAGTTAAATGAAAAAGTAACCACTTCCGAGACCGAGAAACAGATGGTTTTTCAACTCGTAGAGGCGCATCAGGAAGTGTTTCCCTACCTAGCATCCAAAAACGACATTGTTAAAAATTTCAAAAAAAATTTAAAGTATGTATGTCGGACATGGCTTTACGTAAATCTAATTTATTAGTTCAAATATAATTTTATTTAAAACCTGTCAACTTTTTTTATGACCACATTAAATTAGCTACAATTTTAAATATATTAGTTTTGGAAAAATTGTGACTATCTGGAAAATCCTAACGAATAAATTTGAAAATTCGTGAAAAATAGTACCAAATTGTCACTTTAGGCCGCGTGGGTACTTAACTGAGTACGCCATTCGCTTTAGCGGCTTATTCTTCATGAGTTTGGGAATTTTTTTTTTCTTTATTGTGTAAAATGAATGTGTTTTTATATAAGGATCCAAAGTAACAGCAAAACAGTCTTATATATCGCAGTTTTCGGAGTAGCTCATTCAGTTTTTGCAATAATCAAATTTTTTTTATTTTGTTAGGTCTTTAGCGTCCTATTTTCATATTCTGCTGCCGGAGGGAGGATCTGAAATACTTTAGCAGAATAAATCATCTAATATACATACATAGGTTCCGTCCTCGGTCCGTTGCTATGGATCATTGCTTACGATGGAGTCTTACGCCTACCTGTTCCAAAAGGTGTTAAAATAATTGCCTATGCTGATGATATTGCGCTAGTTGTCGTAGCGAAAGATATTAAGGGTGTACAGACAAACGGCCACCTCAAGTACTGCCAACTTGGTCGACGAATGGCTTAAGGATAATGGCTTGCAGCTAGCTATCCAGAAAACTGAAGGAGTACTTATAACAAGCAGGAAGAAGAAAGAAAGTACGACTTTGAATGTAAAAGGGTATGTATTTGAGACGATCCCAGCAGTAAGATACTTAGGTGTGATGATAGACGCTAGGTTATCATACAAAATATACACTGAAACGGTTAGTAAGAAAGCGGCTACAGTCCATAGTTCGTTAGCTAGGTTAATGGCAAATGTAGGAGGTCCTAGTCAGAATCGAAGGAAACTCTTGAGTAAAGTAACACAATCGGTTGTTATGTATGCCTGAGCTTAGAGCAAGGGAACAACGCCGCCGGATAGTCAGGCTGTAATCAGTGAAATAAATGAAGTAATTGACATTAATTGTGTTTCACTCTTGTTTTTTACTCCACAGGGAATCTCTCCACGAAGCACAGACGACAAAACGCTCCTGAACCCCTTATCACAAATGTGGATGAGGGAATACGGAAATTTTGTTATGGAGTGAGGTATTCTGTATGCCATGGCCCCTCTCTGATGAAATGCAAAAGCAGTCCCGCGGAGGTGGCTTCATCGGAGTTTCATACGGGCCACTGGTGAATAGTGCGCTATCCCAACGTCCGTAAAAAAAAACATATATGAATGCTTAGAAAAAATAACTAAAAAAATTTGTACACTCATTCATGTGATATCATAGCTAGTAAATTTTTTGGATTCATTATGTGCGCTTTTAAAACATATTTTTTTACGGTCTTCTCACTTATGAAAAATTATTAACATTGTAAATTCTCATATATATCTACTACATAGAACAAAAAAAAATTGCTTCTCTTTTTGTCACTTTTTAGCAGCAAGGCAGAAAATAAAAAAATCACATAATTGAAGGTGCAGAATCAATATATTTCTGAATATCTCAAACATGTTTGAAAAAATATGGCAAAAACTAAAACGCTCACATAAATACATACATGTCTGAGCAGTGAGTCGGCACTCTGTTAAAAAAAAAAAAACACAAAAAAAATATAAAAAATAAAACTGTTCCTGAAAATAAAATAAAAAAATTTATTTTTCTTTTTAAAATAATATAATCTAAAAATTTACAGAAAACTAAATTATAAAAAAATAAAAATAAAATAAGTTCCTAAAAACAATAAAATTAGTAAACGATTACTTCTTTTAAATCAATAAAAATTCAGAATGAAAAGAAAATTAAAAGAAAGTAAACAACATTTTTTTTATTAAAACAATATAATCTAAAAATTAAGAAAATTAAATTAAAAAAACAGAAAAAATAAAATAAGTTTCTACTAATTAAATGAAATTAAAAAAAGCATTTTTCTTTTAAAGCAATTACCGCATTCACAAGACGTGTTAAGCGTCGTAACATCTTAAGTCTGAAAATTTGTCTATGTAATTAAACGATTGAAATGGTTTTATGGGATTCGCTGTGTGTGATAAGAGCTAACTACATATATATCGTCGGTTAAAGTACAAAACCGCGTATCGTCATTCTGCAAAACCGCGTAACTGACATTGGCTGCCAAAAATTCACATAAACTCTTGGCTCAATAAGCTCTTGGCTCAATTCTTATCCATTTGTCCTAAAATATACTAGCCAGAAATGCGATTGCTTTATAAAAAAGAGAATAATTTTGAAACATGAGTGTTTTTCTCTCTAGAAAATAATTTATGCGACCTCACATACATTACATTATCTTGCATTATTTTGATACGAGGTTTTGCATTTTGTTGATACGCGGTTTTGTACTTTAAACGACGATATGTATATGTA